TTAATAACGTGTTATAAAATACAGAAGAACTGCCCATAATATTGGAGGAAATAAGAATTAAGTTGGAAAAAGATGACTTTATAATGAAAATGAAGATGCAATTAAAAGGAATTAAAGGAAAAAATATTTCTGGAAATAATGCATTTTCATTATGTAATGATGTACTTATGTATGCAGAAAGAATTGTGATACCAGCATCATCGCAAAAACTTATGCTAAAAGAATTTCACAGAGGGCATCCAGGAATTTCTAGAATTAAATCCTTAATGAGGTGCTATATTTATTGGCCAAAAATAGATCAAGATATCAAAAATTTAGTGAAATCATGCAGAGGTCTGACTCTGGCAGTGAAATCACCACCTATCAAAATTCAACCTTGGCCAAAAACCAATATGCCATGGTCCAAAATACATATAGACTTTGCAGGACTGTTAAACAGAGAATACTATCTAGTGGTAGTGAGTAGTTACAATAAATGGCCAGAAATATTAAAAGGTGGAAGACCGACTACCATGGTAATGATAAATTTCCTATACAAGATTTTTGCAAGGTTCTATCATGACTATCATTTCAGATATTGGGACTCGATTCACATCTAGTGAATTTAAGTTTTTTTGCAAATCATTAGCAATAGAACATATTACAACTCCCTCCTTATCACCCAAGATCAAATGGACAAGCGGAATGGTTTGTAAATACTTTTAAAAGGACAGTAAAAAAGTCAGAGGGAGAGGAGTCAGATGAAGAAATGCTACAACAATTTTTGAGTGTTTACAGAATAACACCAAACCTGAACACCTTGTCTAGTATGTTGCCTACAGAGATGATGTTCACCAGGAAGATTAAGTTCGTATTTAACAAATTACTGCTATATCAGAAGATTAGAACATCAAGGAATCAAAATAATATGAATAAATATTTTAAACCTGGTGATAAAGTGTTTTTTAAAATGTATCAATGAGGGAAAGAATTCCGGGAAGATGGCATTATAAAAAAACAAAATGTCATACATGTTACAGGGACAAAGATGGGAACATAAGTGACACCGTAATCAGTTAAAATGGAGATTCACTGATTTAGTAAGTCCACAAAAAGAGGTACTGATGGAAATATTGTATGACATGTTTGACTTACCCGCATCACCAGAAATTAGTGAACCAAGGCAGTACAGTAAAAGGAAAAGAAAAGCAATGGAACATTTGAATATTGAACTGAAGCTGAAGAAATATAAACTCCAGAGGAAGTCATCTCAAAGGGGAGGTTTTATATAGGAATAAAATATGGCTGCCGGCACTTGAGTTTGAACATAGATCACCAGTGAGCAAACACAGGTGATCCCATTATTGAATTAAGTAGACCACATGAGCATAGAGGAAATGCATATATAGGAAGTCACGAGACATCTAAATGATCTGCCTTTCTACTATATCCTCTATTACTATTGGGATCACTATTTCTACTCTCTCCGCTATTTCTATACGGATCACCATTTCTAGTCTATACTATTTCTTGATACTATTCACTATACTATCTCTTATTTTGGATCACTATTTGGTTGAGCGAGTATTATCAAGCAAGTACTATTAGTACAAGTGCTATTCAAAAGTGTCTGATACCAGTATTGTTCAATGGCATACTGTAGTTATATCAGCGATTACAAAGTCTACTACAATGAGCATTATGAAGGTGACAATGAATATTCATTGACATTACAAAACTGTCAACTGAGTGTTCATTAACATCACAAAAAATGTATACACAAGCAAATGCACACAGTAGCACATACACAAACAACTTTACTAAGTTTGAAATAAAACATTGAAATAATACATTTCCCCTACAACTTAGACTAGACAACCTCTACCCTGGGTTGAGCAATAAAGTCATGAAGTTTAAGAAAATAGAAAAAAAGAAACTTAATTTTTTAAACCCTAAAAATAAAAAAATTATATCATTTTATTGAACATTTTTGAAATTATTTGGCAATAAACAGAATTATTTTTTAAAGATTTTTTTCTAAATTTGGCAGAAATATTTTGAGGCCAGTCATTGAGTTAAAATATATATGTGCACATACAAACATATATATACACACAATTTGAATGAAATTGAAATGAATATCTGTCACAAGATATTACCCTTTCTGTCTCGCAACAACCTCTGTGTAACTGGAAAAGAGTATAGCCAAAATGTATGACCCTTTGAAGCCATCTCTATGACAACTTCTGTGTTTAAACTAAATATATTTTCTAATAGATTTAGATTTGAAATTTGCTAATTTTAGTGTCAGCAACTATAGTATGGAACTATCATATAATAATAATGGGGTATATATATATATATATATATATATATATATATATATATATATATATATATATATTGGGCATCTTGAGGTGGTGTAATTGTTAGTGAGGTTGTCTCACTAGAACAATTACGACCGAGTAGTGAGTTTGACCCTCACTAGGTGCCCATATTTTCAGCCTTGTGACACATCTAAGCTACGCTTCGAAAATTACTATATATATATATATATATATATATATATATATATATATATATACACACACAGTAATTGTCATATTCAATTTGTTGATCTGAGTAAAGCCCACAAACCTTATAACCCACACATTTTTCTTATTTATAGAGGTTGTATTTTGCTTTTAAATCTGAATAAATCATTCACTTGCCAGTAATTTACAATCGTCTGATCACATTTGATACGCATCGAAAACACGACTACAATTGTGTAGTAATTTTGACATGTTTTCGATGTAATATCCCATAATATATATATATATATATATATATATATATATATATATATATATATATATATATATATATATATATATATATATATATATATATATATATACATATAATGCAATAACCATTCATGTTAGATGATTTCCAACGTCCAGCTTCCCAAAAGAACAACAGGATGCAGATAAAAAGAATACTAACTACCACACAGACATTACATTGGTTAAAAGTCTAATTTAGTGATCTATGATGTAATTTGGAAAACCATTATTATCTAGCATCTGTTTCATGTTAAGTTCTTTAAAGAAAAGTGTATGAGAGAATGAATTCTCATGTGCTCTCATGAGGAAATTTTTTATAAAAAATTGAAAAAGAACTTAACAACGTGAAACAGACAATAGATAATCACAGTTTTCCAAATTGCCTCATAGATCTCCAAATTAAACTTTTAACTGACATGGTGTCTGTGAGGTAGTTAGAATTACTTTATCTGCATCCTGGTATTCTTTGGGAAGCTAGACGTTTGAAATGATCTAGCATAAGTGACTATTGGATTTTGTTTTATATATATATATTAGTAGTAGTAAATCCTATAGATTAATATAGGGCCACATCCATACCATGCTTGGCATTGCTGCTGTGGTTTCTGTGGCAAGTAGGATTAAGAGATTTTCTTCTCCTAAACTGGTTTCAAATAACCTTGAAGGGTTGAGAATTCTGTAATATTGAACATTCTAATTTAAAGACACACAAATTTTGGTGATTTTTTTTTTTTTATACAACTGGCTTTAACATCTGCAATACGATGGCTTGACCAAGGGGAAATGTATTTACTTGCAAAACTAAAGACATTTTGTCAGTAGTGTGATTATTACACACAGTATGTGAATGAAACTGTAGTCATGGTTGACCATCACAGTAACACAATTTATTGGTTTTTATATATATATATATATATATATATATATATATATATATATACGATGAGGAGCAAAATGTATATTTATTAGTATATTTGGTAAATATGACAATTTGAAAAACTTTTATGTTGATATATTTTATGGATCAAACTGTTTGACACTTTCCATTACATTTCAGGCGGTTTTCGAATGTCAATATAATTTTTCTTTTTCAAAATTGTCATATATTTACCATTCCATTGGATTCTCATGTTATGGACAATTACTTGGAATGAGAACTAAGTTTGAATTCCTGTCAAGTTCATTACATTCACTCATGCATAAATACTCTTGGGAAAGGTATGAATCCATCTCTTTTCCTCTAGCTATTGGCTAAGTAGTAGAGCAAACTGAGCTCCTCAGCCTTGGTTGACAACCAGTCTAGGAGAAGTACAACTCTGAATTCCAAAATCCTGGTAAAGTACATATTATATGTAGCTAATGAAAGGAGTGTGGAGTTCACAACAATGCTATAAACTTGACTGCAATTGGCATGAGTTAATTGAATTCTCATCTAAATTTAAATAAAATAATATATATACATATATGAAATTAATTGATACATCAAATTGTTCAGTAACTTTGTGTAATATTCTTTTTTATTTAGTAAAGCATAATATTTGATTTTATATTATTTTATATGTATATAATATTAGATATGATTATGAAGTTGTATAAAACTATATGGTATAATATTACATGAAATAATATATTGTGCTGTATGATATTGTACAATATTGTATTAAAATTAATTATTACACAGTGTTGTATAAAAATGTTGGCACTTTAAGAAAATTTATTTGTCTACTTCTTCCATAGCAGTTACTGACTTAAATTGTCAGCTTCAAATGTAAATATTTTGGGAGTGTCATGGATTTTAGGGTTATTAAAATGGATTGGTTTTTCTTATACAAATCAGCTCTGCAATGTTTATAGCAAATGATAACTAATGGCTTTACCAGATGAGATATGACACTACGCTTTTTAAGTACACTGGTATTAAACTAGGAAAAACTAATGCAAAAAATGGCCTTGCCAACAGAAAATAAAGCAATAGAAGTAAAATCAAAATGCTTATGATTGGGTTGTCGACCCTGATACAGTTCGCAAACCGTTAGATGGCGCTGCAGTCAGCCTAGCTTCCACGCATGACAAGACTTGAGTAGCGATTCCGGAATAAAAGGCAAAGCTGCGTTGAATTTCGGATAGGAAACTGCTTCCTTGATTTCTTATTCTTATTAAGACAAAAACAAAACAAAAACACAAAAAAAAGCTATGGCACTGAAAAGAATTCAGAAGGTGAGCTCTTTCTCTAAAAAATCAACGACGCGAGCTATTTAGGAAAAAAAGATAGAAAAAGAAATTTTTAGGTGGGCTTTTTGAAGGGGGGACCGCTCGGTTTTATGTTCATTCCGGCCGCCATATTCGACGACCTCTGTTGTATGTATGTGTATGTGTGTGCGTACGTTTGTGAGAGAGAGTGAAAGATTTCAATTTATTTACTGGGTTTTCTATGATTCATTATACCGTATCCTAAATTCTCAATTCTTTGATGATTGTGTAAGCTTTGCCGGTTTGTTCTCGAAAGATCTGAGCAGTGGATGTCTAAGATTTTCGCTGTTCTCTTATTTCTTTTTTTGTGGTTGAGGAGAAAAAATAAGCTTAACCGTATATAATGGAGTCAAGTCTTATACGTGAAGTAAAATTTTTAATATGGTGCCGGTCGAAAATTACTTATTTTCGCTTTATTTCTCTATTATTTCTACTTATGACCTGCTTAAACCTTTGTATCATCCCTTCATGAAGTACCATATATCCTTAAATTACGCCTATTACATATTTGAAAGACACTTTCAATTACATTTCAGGCGGTTTTCGAGTCTAAAGACTGGAAGTACATGTTTGGCTATGACGTCATGGTCATACTCTTAGTCTTAAGTATGTGTAAAAAAAAAAAAAAAAAAAATATTAGTAAAGAAAGAAACCCAACATAAGTCTTTGGATTGTGTTAAATCAAGTTATTTAAAGTATTTTGTTAACTTCCAATCTTTTTACAAAATATAGACAGTTGTATTTAACACTAAAAAAATGTTTTTAATAAACCATAATTAATCCAACATATTTTGAAAATATTTATTTATTTATTTTACTATTCACAGAATCCACTAATTTATTAAAACAATATTAACTAAATCTCATAGTAGGCTACTGTGTCATCAAATCGGGGTCTATTTTTAGATAGATTCTTTACAAAGAATTGGCCCCTCAATTCGTGTTCACTTTTGTCCAACAACGAATCACATGTTCTACTTTATTAATGTTTTAGAAAAATCAGTCAAAAATGTTTTTTTAAAACCTCAAAATACTTAAAATTTCTACTTAAGACATTTATTAAAACGTCCGTAATATGTCCGGAGAACAGATCCTTCCCAATATGTTGAGTGATGACTACTTTTCTAGCAAATAGAAAATCTTATTTCAGGGATCGGTCAAATTAATTTCATTTTCATTATATATCCTCTAACTAAAGCATTTTTAAATTAATAGTTGATTTCATATAAGGAGTCAATCTGATGAGAAAATTATCAAAATAATAGTTTATCGTATATAGACACTAGTAAATCTCTTTAAGGATCGGTTTTTGAATACTCATTTACCTACTTAGAGTAGTGATTATTTCAGGAATCTACTGTGCGAATAATAACCTCTGGGGTGGATTTTTTGCCTTTTAAAAATCTGTCTTTTCGTTAAATTCTCTAGTAATATCACTTAAATATATATTTTTTAATATTGATTAATATCAATTATTTCTTGTTTCTGGAAAGTGGATTCTCAAAAATGTTTTATTTCTTTTAAATTAAAATAAAAACTTAATTTTTTAAGTTGTATTTTTCAAAATCTTGTAATTTTGATTTCGTCGTGAAATATTGATACCTTTCCGTTTTGGAGAAATATTCGTAGAGATTAAGAATCTTACCAGATTTTTTTTTTCATCAGACTGGTGGGGGGGGGGGATATTAAGCCGAGAATTTTAAGGCAATCTTATAAAATTTATTGGTGTAGTAATTTAAATCACTAAGATTCTGCCTTATTATAAGGCCCTTATCTTCAAATTACGATTGGAGCTTTCTTGATCAATATTTCTAAATCAATTTCAGTTTTAAAAGTCTAAATCTCTGAATTTGGTAGCCTTTTTGATAATGAAACCAGGAATCCACTCGACGTATGTGTCTAGAGAGATCCTTTCTGTGAAACTAACTAGGACGATTTCAGCATTTGTTATAGTTTTTCACGTTTTGGTAACCGTAGACGGATTTTTAAAATTTTATTTTCATAATAAAAATATAAAAACACGGTGTGAATATTTTATACAAACATTGTAGGTTTGAAAAATCTGGCATTGTTAGTATTGAATAAATAACGATGAAAGAAAACTAAAAAGACGATAGAAATGAATTAGCGATCGATACGTTTTTTTCTCTTGTCATTGGGTTTGAATGTTTTCAGTCATATCTTAAAATATTTTTACAGAAACTTATAAAGTTTAGAACAATCGCATTGAATATTTCTGTATCATATCTTAGAAAATTTAAACATCGTCTGGTCATGGTTTAGGAATAGTGAATTTTTGTAACAAAGGCGATAAAAAGTACTCTGTAGCAGTAAATGGCACATGCACGTGACCTTAACGATGTCGATATGCCAGAATAATGTTTATTCACTTTTTTTAAATTACTAATTTTCATCTTTCGACTTAAAAAATGGTTCGTACTTTCATCCCTCGCCTCGTATTATGACAATCCATCTTTGTTTCGCGCATAGATCTTTTCTTAACTATGCTAATAATCTTATCCTTACCTTATGAAATAGTTTTTTTTTTTTTTTTTTTTAAGTAATTCCTACCTACCTATCTTTAAACTTGACACTTGGTGGCTACAGTTGTTTCAATTTCAAAAATCAAAGACTTTGCTTTTTATATCCATCCGTTACAGGAATTTTAAGTTAACTGTAAACCGGCGATACGACAAAGAGAAAGTAATGAAACTCAAACTAACATTTGAATACTATGATCAAATAATTGAATGAAAATTATAGACTTTGTTGTCAAGTGTTTATTCTTTCACCATGTGACTCGATCAACATTTAAAATTTATATTTAATTTTTTCATATCCCTTCCAACTAAATGATAAACGTTTTCGGAAATTCTTTTTTTTTTTTTATTTTTATTTTTTTTTAAGGATGACCCAATTTATTTAATTCTCTCTTATTTAGTTACAACTGTCATTTCTAAAATATTAGGGAAAATAGTTTGACAATTCATGCTAATCAGTTTTATTTGGGCAACTTACGTTGTGCATATTACATGCTTAGTACTGGGTTATTTTTAATAAATATTTTTTTACCATTGTCATTCAAAGAAAATATTCATTTTATTTATTTTCCCCATTTTGTTATTGTTACATGTTAATTTGTCTTGTGATAATTTTCCTAGGTCATCTCATGTAGTAGTACTTTAACTTGACACATCAGTTACAGTTGCAGGTGATCTGAGGCGGTTGCTTTTGTTTTTCAGTTACCTCCCCTGATCACCACCTTAGTTTCTCGTATCTCCACCATCACCATTTTGCTAGCTTAACAATGAATTTTAAAATAGGACCTGCCTTTTTGTTTTTGTTCTTTATTTCTAGATCTCTCTCTTGATCAGATAGTCTTAACCTCTATTTACTGTCAAACAAATGTATGAACTCAAGACAGTAGTTACAGTTTAAGTGGGTCATAGTCGATACCTGAATAGGTCACTTCCGTTAATTAATAGTAATACCATATTCATCCGGAGATAACTTTCCTAGAGCTAGAACATCGATTTCACTTGTCACAAACGGAAGAGGCAAAATTGCATCTAATCCTTACTTGTTTAGCATACGAAACAGTGTTAATTGTCTGCGAAATCATTTTTTTTATATATATATATATATAATCATTTTACTCAAAGCAAGATAATACAGCCACTAGGACGCAAGAGGTTACCGAGTGTTAGAGGAATATGAGAAAAAACTACTTAAGGAGAGGACAATATTGTTATAAAAATTCTGCAATCTATTGGTTAGATATAATGCCAGGTCGTTTTTTAAATTTTTTTTACACATTTTAATACTATTTAAAATTGTTAGTGTTTAAAATAAGACACCACAAAGTGCTGTTAAAGGTTTTTGTTTTTTACATTTCATTAAATTTTGAGGACTTTAATTGCAAAACTAGATTTACAATGTTAAAAAATTTAAAAAAAGAATGCATCTTAGTGTTTATGTATTGTATAGTGCTTTTTATTAGATTCTTATTTTTAGCCAAATTCTTGCATTCATTTTCTTTTTTCTTTTTAATCATTTCATCCCTAGCAAGGTAATAAAGCCACTAAAATAAAAGGGGGGTTACTGAGTGTGAGGTCATGATAAAAGAAGAATTAAGACAAGAGATAAGTTGGCATTGCATTTAAATTGTGGAAGATCAAAATTGACTGGAAAGCAAGAAGCCAGAAGAGTTCCACAAGCATAAGAAACTATTAGTATAGAACTTGCAGATAAATCTAGCTATTTAAACTGTAAAATGATGACACCTTGCTGCCAATATAGTAGTAGCTTAAATTCATAAAGACTCTGTACTAAAGAGGAAAGTTTATCAGAACAATTACTATGAAAACATTTATAGAAAAGGCACAGGAAAGCTACATTACATCAGTGGGAAAGTGACTGAAATAGAAATGCCAAGTTAGGACCAATAACATTGCAAATTCCTCTTTGTATTTTATCAAGAATCTTTAAACACATAGCATAAGCCCCAGACCAGATGTGGCAGCAGCATGGAGGAATGATAGAATTATAAATGTGTAAGATAGATTCTGGCAAAAAAATTGAATTGGCTGCCCTAGTAGCAGACCTAGCAATTGAGTCAATATAATCTTTCCACTTCATGTTATCCTAGGAAGGAGTTGCTCTTCTGGAAGTTAGCATCAGCCATGCTGTCAGAAATATTGTATGGCCAATAATTGCTTTCAGAAATGTTTTCCTTTTGAAACCAGTTCCTTCACACTAAAATCTTATTTGTTGTATAGTTTAATTATTTGATCTCTTTGCTCAATGCCAGGCCTGCTTGACTGATTTTCAGTTGTCTTAATTATATTTGCTTGCAAATGAAAGTCTATTGAAGTTCCAAGTATTTAACATTTACTATATGCAAGTCTGCATTGATTTAGATGGAAACTTATCTCTAGTAAACAAATAGAAATTAGCATATTGAGATT